CCACCCTTTGGGCTTCATAGGAATAAAATAAATTAAGGATTTATATACAAAGAAATGTATGGAGCGATGTTCGATGTTGAGTGTATGACGTCACAGACTCCCAAAAAAATAATCGTAAAAATATCATACTTTCGTCCTGAATATCGAGAAAACACTTCATACAGTGATTATTGGACCTTTAAAGAGTATTCTTAGGAAGTTTCAGCTGAATCCAAGTTTGAGCGATTTTCGTCGTAGTAGCACTTTAAGCATGGCCGAGATCGGTCTAATCTAGCGGATTGTATTTTATGTTTTTTAAATTCAGTTATGATGTTGATAGCTACCTATTCTCTAAGTTTGTAAAATCTATTTTCAATACTATGGTAATATAGTTGTTGTTTTTGTTGATGTTCTTGCTAAATAGGAAGGTCTAGGCCTTTTGGAACTAGAAATCCTTGTATATGATTTGGTCTCTCACGGTGTATGTGTATGCACACGTTAACCAATACCAGCCCCACGTCCAGCCCCACGCCCAGCCCCACGTTCAGCCCCACGTTCAGCCCCACGTCCAGCCATGTGGGATGTGCTCAAAAAAACAGTCATGCAGCTGAGCTAGACATTTTGCTTCAGCCAATCACAGCGCGTTTAGCTCTTTTGCCGCCGGCCAACCTTTGTGTAATCTTTCTGTTTTCTTGTGACTAAAATATAATATACATCAAAAATGCTTGGGGACAGCCGGTCATTTTGTCCACTCATGCTTTGTGCTCCGCGTTCACCGCTCAACTGGAGAAAAAAGTTATCAGAATGTTGATAGACGCCGAGTCTAGGTGATTACGATTATACAATACAATAAAATAACTTTATTTAACGTGGGCAAAAATACACTTAGCTCAATATAAAAGATATTTTGCTAATTTGCAGGTACTGCCACAAAGCCATACGATTGCATGATGCAGATCATCTTGTTTATACACACATGAAAACACGCCTTCTTATGCAGATATACTAATGACGATCGTCCCTCTTTCAAAAGTCTGTTTGTTTCCGCTTTAATAACATCGACAATCGCTTTAATGGCTGACCAAAATACGCTAAACTTGGACAGAAATGAAGCGTTAATCTGTGCCAACTTTAGACATATTTATATAAGATATTATCTTTAGTCGTTTTCCTACGTCTTCCTCTCTCTCTTTCTCTCTGTTTTTCCTCTTCCTTCTCTCTCTCTTCTTTCTCTCTCTTCTTTCTCACATATTTTCTATTTTTTAAATATCGCTTTTAAATCGTCACCTAATTTTTTTCGATTTTTGCCTTTCCTTTTTCTATCCTTCATTCATTTCTAACAATCGTTCATTATATCCTGTGGATGACACTCCATAGACACAGCACATGTAGTCCATCGGTGTTGTCAACTATAATTGTCAGATTTTCGTAGAAAGGAAGAGACTAACTGCTGTTACTTATCGCGTATTTCCCTCCTATACTAGCTCACGTCTTTGGGTATATTATAGAGTTATTTTTCACTCGAAAACTTAAAATAAACACTGAACAGAAAGAAAAAGACAAAAATAAAAAGGACATAAACTCGTATGTAATTCCACACTAGAAATCCAAGAAGAAAGAGTTGAATTATAGATAACTTAACTAGGTAATAAGCTTTCTTTTTTTTTACAAAAAGCAGCGCTAAGCCACATTTCATGACCAGGAAATATACAGCTTATAAAGCAACGATTTGATTGGACGACGTTCCACGTGTCTTGATTTGAATTTGAATTGCATTTTTCATAATTTTTCTTGCATTTTGATTGGTTCGGAGGGCGGGAAGCCATTTTAGTGAAGGTTGACACGTTTGGAAATATCTTTTACACGAACTTTCCATCATTATTTGAAATTGTAGGGACTTTTTTTTTGCCTTCATATTTTGATTTTTATTCAGACTCTAGCGGATTAAGCGGTTTCAGAGAACCATGCGCGGTTTTTATCAACAAACCCAGCTGAGCGGAATTGACACAGTTTGTTGACTCAACAATGGTTCTTGTTTAGATATCATAATATACGTTTTAGTAGATGAGGGTGAGCGTTCACTGCATGAATCACTACTAGACCGGCTAGACATGCTATATAGTACTACATGGTTCTTGGGTGTAATATCCCTTGTAATGCACTTGTCAAATATCGTGGTAGCAGCCGAGGTGAATACGGTTGATGATGATGTATGTCAGTCCAATGATGTAGATTGTTATTTCAGACGATATTCCAATCTTACTCTTCACAGGATCAACCCAGTCAAGGTATTACTGACTATTAATATTTCATTCTACCCATGCCTGATATATAGCCCACAAGTGTATATCAGTCTTTAACATCATCTAACACGATTATTCGTGACTCAACGTCTACAGAAAAACACCCTTATAACGTTAAGTACAGTCCTTCTACAGTCCAAGTCTATTTCACGGGATTATGTTAAACATTATATTTTATTATTAGCGGGTTTCTGTGTTACTTTTAAATTGGTTAAATATATCTCTCATAAATTTATTTATATCGTTTTAAAAACAGAATTGTTAAAAGATCCATAAACAATTTGTTTAAATATATTTCATTTGTCTTACTTCAAAATGTACAAAGAATAACCATAACTATAAAAATAAACTTGTATTTTACTCGCTAATAAGAAATATATATCTCAAAGCTTCATCAATGTTTTTAGTATATAAAACTTTTCCTTAGTTTTAAGCTATAATTAAAATTCTAGAAAATATTTAAACAGCGCTGCCAACCTTTTATTGAAAAAGGGTAAAAAATCCTGAGAAGCGTCGAGACTTGAGCAGCTGGAAGGACAGAACTAGTCTTTGTTTTGTTAGGACCCGCCGCTGTCGCCATTTTAGCAAAAATTTATCGCCTAAAACAAGCGTTTTGATTTGAACCTTAAAGCTGATAAGTGTTTTTCTTCCAGAAAAATCAAAATCAAGACTAATTCACTTGAACTGATTCATTTAGCTGCCCAACAACTTTTTCCTCGTCGTCATTCGACAATTTTGAACGATTTCTGTCGGTGTTGCTGTATCTTGTGTCGATAGTATTAGATTATAGAATGAACAAATTACGACTTAAAATGTTTTGCTGCGCGAAAAACAAGCTTCCCTTGAATAACAAACACATTAGGGTTGGTGTTTATAGAAGCACTCAGACAAGTACAAGTGATGTATTTTGAAAATAGCTTTTCTTCAGGCCGACCAGGATGTGATTAATCGCTTTGGAGACGCGCGCGCAACATAAAATATCAGATTCTGTCAGTTTTTTTGTTAAATTTGCTTACATTAAATGTCTCGTAGCTGACAGATTGAAATACTCCTATTGTAGTACATTTCCTTTCGATTTGTAAAACAATTCAAATAAAGTGTTAGTAGACAAGTGTTACACAATATTATATATCCATTTACCTCAATCAGGTTGGTCACGTCCGACATCTTGAACTCGAACCAGGAAAAACCTACCAAATGAAAACATTGGCTGTTAAACCACCTATATTTGGTATGTGACCATATGGGCTCACTTTGTCTGGGTTTATAGTAATAATAGTAGTAGTAGTGGCAGTGGCAGTGGCAGTGGCAGT